GCATGCCTCTAACACATCACTTCCCATTTCTTAATATATATATTTGCAGACTTGTAATTATAATAGATTTTGAATTCAAACTTGGAAGAATCTGCAACTAAGGGGATTCAGACCATGGAGATAGAAATGGAAAACAAGCCAGTGTAATTTACTTTTGAATTTTTTGTTCATTTAAAGCATTGGTTTTTCTTTAATTTTCTAGATTGATGTTTGTGGTTATGATCTAGATTGTTGGTCGTTTTAATTTGTCCACGGGAATACAAAACATGGATTGGAGTTCTATTAGGTGTTATGGTTTCAATAGGGTTTGATTGCTGTAATTGTAGGCCATCCATTGGCCTTGAAACACCTAACAAATGCTGATCGAACGAACAAAAAGCAGTTAGAAAGGCACTGTCATCAAGAGAAATTAAGAATGATTCTGGTATGTTCCCTGAGTCTCAAGCATTTAAGCATGGGCTTTCTGATTTTTTAATATTTTGTTAATTAGTACAATGAGCATAGTCTTATGGTAAAACTAATTAAGATTCTTCCTTTAAAAGTTCTTGGACCATAAGGTTTTAATCTCTTGGAGGTGCTCAATTTCAGTCAGCTGGGAGGGTGACAGGATGTTGGTCAGTCTATTATACCTTGAGTAGGTAAATCGCTTCTGAGTTCAATTTGTTTCAAAGAATGGCAGCTGATGCAAAGTTGCTCATGGACTTCCAATTTGTAGGTTTCTTTCTGTTGAGTTGTCATAGACTAAGTTGTACTCAGACTCCAGGGAAATCTCAACCCATAATGACTCTAACTCCTTGAAAGTATGTTTTGAGTAGAATTATGATTAAACTTGAAATTCATTTCAAGTAGATATGCTTTTCTTTAATTCTTATTTCTCATTTCCATTATCAATGCTACTTTGTGATGCTCTTGTAATTGATATCAAAGTTCTCATGTTTTAACAAATGAACAGCAGGGAATTCAAGATGAAAACAGAGAGTCAACCATGACAACCAGTAGCTAACCATGGAGAACAATGGTATAGTATTGGAGACCCAGTGGCGGCAAACGTGGTTTGCTCAATGTGTTTTTTGTCTTGCAATGGTGATGAAGAGTTTTGAACCCACTTTCCAACATAGGTCGCATCTCTCCTGATAATTCAGCCAACACCAGCAGTGTCATTTTTGCTAGCAGCCCAGGGATGACATGGCAAGTCTCCGAAGTGAAGAAATTTCATCCAAGATCAATCAATGCAAAGTGGAAGATGCATAAATATTTAAGGCTATCAAGTGCCATATTCTGTCAAATTAGTTGCTAACCAACAGGCATGAAATGTGGAAGGCCAAGTTAAACTTGCTAATGCTGTCTTGAATTTTGATTGCAATAATGGATGCATTTGCTATTGATTACAAAAGAGCGTTGTGAGATAGGGTGTATTGGGAAGCTTCTATCGAAGCTAGGGCCGAGATTTTAGCAGTCGCATCCATTTCTTTACGTAGTAGAATTTCTACTTGGCTCTCCCAGCAAAATTGTGGTCGTTCTTTTATCGTTCTTTCATTATCTCTTATCGTATAAAAATGGTTAGAGAACGTGAAAATTGCACCAAATTGGAATTAATGCATTTACTTCACCAGAAAAAATTATCTTCAATGACTAAGGATTGTGATGTTCCAGGAGCAAGTACAAAATAGCTGGTTATTTTTCATAAGTAGACGTAGGAGCTGAAAGAAAACAAGGGCCAAGTTCAGCACTTTGGCTGCAGGGGCAATAATCACAAGAATTGGAATTACTCATAATCTCGGTATATTCAGGCAGGCATTAGCTTCATGCCCGTCAGAAATGCTTAAAGGGTACATGCGTCGTAAATGAACAAAAGATATCAGCAATCAAAATTAGACAGGGTCAGTAACTAAAATCAAGTTTTTTTCTTCCTCTTTATTCTCTCAAGGGCTCCTAGACGACTCTCACTTTCCCTATCTTTGGCTGGTACAGTATCATCATCCGCATCTCTATCACCATCGTCTCTCTTCCTGACAAGACCTCCAAATACAACAGTAGGAACATCTTTCTGTCCAATTTCAACTCTTTCTTCATCTTCAGAATCACTTTCTTCTGGCAGATCAATGTCTTCAGTCGCAACTGGTTTCATCCCTCCATCAGTCTGGGACTCCACCCCAGCACTCACAAACCCCACTTTTCTGCTGCTGTCTTTAGAATTGACATTTTTAGATGCAGGGACCAATTGCCTCTCAAGAGCAGCCATCTCATCTTCTGGGACACCTGCCTGCTTCAATTTATCCTTTGCATCATCAAGGGTCAATGACTGATCCTTCTGCATCATGTACTCTGGCAGAATGAGGTGTGTCTGAAAAATCAACAAAAATGAGAATTAGAATAAAAGATGAAAAGCAAATCTCAACTAGAATTCTCAAGATTAGGCAAGAATAAAATGATAAACCCAGATAACGCATCTTAAAACTAAATGGGAAGCTTTTGTATTTATACCACGAACAGTATCTAAAAACTAAATGGGAATTCGAAATATTCTGCATGAATAAAAGGAAAAACCCATATAATGTATCGAAAAACTAAATGGAATGTTTTTCTCATAAAGGCTTACCTGGCTATAACTTGCAGAAACACTTCTTGTGATTTGCAGCATTTCTCTGAAGGTATCTTCATTTCCATGCTGAACCTCAAACTCATGCCACTTATTCCAAAAATCACCATCAGTGCGTGGATCTGCAAATTGAGATGCAAACACATATATCCCCCTAGCTCGGTCAATTTCTCCCAAGCTCTTTTCTAGCTCTGCATATTTCAAACACATTGTCTTCACATCTTTACCTGGAAGACCAGACTCTATGGCCTGCTCATAGATTTCTCTTGTTTTAGGGACACCAAATATCTCAGTAGCACGAGCAATGTATATCTCATACATGCTTAGTTTTTCTTCATTTGGTACTGCCTTGGTTGCCTCATCATAGACCTTCATAGCTCGCTTTGCTAGACCATAATCCTCCTCCAATTTTGCATATTGAAGATACAGCTGCTTAACTGCATCAGCAGGAGCCTAATAAACACAAGCAAAAATAAATAAATAAATAAATAAATAAAAGCAGTATCAGCATCATAGCACATTGATAATGCACACAATGTAAAATTTAGAATCAGCCTCAATAGAAGCTCTTAAAAGTGCAGACTGCAGAAGGATGACATCTAATAAGTCAAAAAGCCATTCAACTACTAATGAAATTATGCTCTTCTACACCCTAATTCTTCTGGCTAAGATTACTCCCATTGCTTCTTAAAGGAACCAATGCTCCTTAAAGGAACCAATGCTCTGAAGGAACCTCTCACAATTTTCAATAGAAAACTATTCCAGGTCAGGGCCATGATTAACTAGATGATTAGTGTGGAACAGATTAGCACATAAGTTTTGGCTAAAGCTTTTACATATATGCAAAAATTAAATCCCATTAATTTTCAAAAGAAAAACTAAGTAACATGTCATGAACAATTATGATTAGACACAGAGCTAAAAGAATGATAATTGGCATACCGTTTCAACAGCATGCTCAAACAGTTCTCTAGCCCTTTCAAGCTTCAACTTTCCATATCTTTTCACGAACTTGGACAAATAGGTTACCCAGATGTCCTTGACATGTGGGTATTTAAATATCTTGACACCTCTTTCATAGACCTTAAAAGCATCTTCAAAGTACCTTGTTTTCCTGCATAAGTTTAAAGATCAGAATCTCAGTCAGTCCACAAAACTATTAAATGTAAGAATGTGTGAAACACAGTGATAAAACCATAAGAAAAATGTCTACCCCCAAAAGGAAGCCATAGTTTATGATGATTTGCGGTGTGGCAATTCTTAAGTCCAGTATTCTCTCATAGACTGCTCTAGTTGACTCCAAGGTACCCAGGCTTTCCTCCAAGTCTACATAGAAAGTCCACAATCTAAGTGA